ATATCACGTGCTATATAACGATAATGACTACATCACGCAATAAACATGTCGCCGTTCTTTTTACCTGACTGAAAATATTTTCGTAGATTCCTCTTCTAGTAAATCCAGTCCTGGAAATCCGATGTCCATTCCAACACGAGCTGTAGTTCCCTCCAAGAATTTTGACATCGCAGTACCTGTAAAAAAATCCATAATTACATTTTGTTCACATATTCCGTCATCACACATCATTTCCAGTAGTAATTTGAGCATTATAAAGTTTGACAAGTCGAACATTTTAAATCCACCCGATAATAAAAATGACTCACCTACAATATTACACAAAGCATCACTATAGTTTGTAAGAAGAAGTCGTTGTATCTTGCAAGTCGTTGCAAGAGTAGTCTGGTTAAGACTAGCCAAGCTGTAAATAAAGGAACTTGGTATTGTCGTATCAAGCTTACAGCCAAAATTAGTCTGTAAAATAATTATACAATTATATAAAATTATATATAATTTTATATAATTGTATACAAATAATGAACATTTTTTTACAGATTCGTAAATGAAATTGCTCTATCACATTACATTTTTGAACAAATATACATATGTATTTTATCTTACTATTAAAAAATTTAACTTATCACATTAGCAATTATTTTGACAAAATTAGACACTATACTGACTATTTTAAAAATAAATTAATACGAACAAATCCTGGAAAATTTTTTACGAAAAGTACAAAAAACTACATAGATTGAAATAAGATCTTAAAAATTCTTAGCTTCGTAGGTATTTGTAACGGAACAGAGTGGCGTTGTTTACTTGAAAATCCAAGAAACTCTACGTCTTTTTTGTAAAAATATATTATGAATATTTCCGAAAAGGGCATAAGATTTCTTGGTTTTTCAAACAAACATGATCACCACTCTATGTCTCATTCATCCGACTTCGTTATCGAATTTTCGTGATAGTAGTGCTATGCCCGAAATAATCGCGCGTAATGCTATCGTCACGAGATCGGTTAATCCGAGAGATGAAAATCTCTCGATGCTATAGGTTCTACTATAATAAGAAAATATTACACTGTTTTAATACACTTACCAAAAATGTTAACCTTACCTATGGATGTGTAAAATTTTGTCAATCTTCTTCGCCTCTTGGATATTCATCGTATGTTGTCGTATGTGAAAACCGTAGAAGCACAATGGAAACGTACTGCACAACCCTTACGAAAAAAACACCTAAAAATTCGGTGTTTACACCTAATTTTAGGTGTTTACACTCAATTTTCGATGTTAACGCCGTTGTGTGTTGACACCGAAACTTTGAGTGTCGACACCAAAAATTGAGTGTCGACACTAAAAGTTATGGTTTAACAGCAAACATTGAGTGTCAAAAGTTGCGTATTCGGACACAAAGCTTCGGATATATATGTCGATGCAATATTTGTGTGTCGCGACGCATGATCCACACTATAATCCAGTTAGAATTAAATTACATCAGTGTCGAAAATATTTACTGACATCGAAATCGATGATCGTAAAATGTAATGTAGTAATACATTTCTGCGCACTTGCGGAAATAATTTTAATACGAATTTGAATAAAATAAAAAATCGATTTTAATCAATTATTTGTTATTTGTGAATTTTATTATTTGATGTATCATTTTATCCTATAATATTCGATGAAAAACAAGGATAAAATGATACGTCATGCGCATTACCCTTACAAAAAAAACACTCAAAAAAAACACCGATAAAAACACCAAAGAAGAATAGCGTAATTTCGGATACCACACTAATACATATATTAATACATACACTATCATATAAACACATAAACCATTTGTTTTTAATATTTCCATTGAACAGATATATCATAATTATACAGACGTAGACATATACAGATTCGTGGGTCATCGAAGTGCAGCAGTTCCCGTACGATTGTCAAGGTCAAGCATGCAAGGTCGTGATACAATCGGATGGGTAACCGTTTGGGAAGTATCATGAAAAAAAATTAATTCTTAAATTTAAAGGAAAATTTTTTTTCAAGATTTTATTCTAAAATTGATGCTAATTAGTAATACTTATTTTAACAATCTAACAGAATTGACACCATTTGGGTGAAAACTGCACTATAATTTTTTGGCGTTTTTTTTTTTGTATTTTTTGGCCGGTTAACGCCCAAATGATGTAAACGCCATTTGGGTATCCGAAATTACGCTTTTCTTCTTTAGTGTTTTTATCGGTGTTTTTTTTGAGTGTTTTTTTCGTAAGGGAACGGTCAGTTGCTTTGGCGCGTTGTAGTTTAAGGTTCGTAACCGATCGGCCATTATCGCTACACTTCGGATTCAGTTCCGATCCGCGCATGCGCAAACGCAAATTTTATCCCTACACTCGTCTGGCACGTCCGCCATATCTGTTTCCCCTTTCCCGATCCCGCTTTCATCGTGGTGATGTCTATCGACATCTGTTCACTCACGGCTTTGCTCCGACTCAAGTCCACCGAGTCCACGCGTTTTTAAACACGTGTGTTTTGTGCAGTTTTGTTAAAAAAATTAAAAAATTAAAGACATTAAATTATTATTGTACACATTATTATTGTAAAAAGCATTAAATATTAATCTTCATATTTTATATACTATATTATACACTTTTATTAATTCTTTTACAATGAGCGCAGTTGATTTCTTGTCGCGTTGTAGAGCGAGAAGAACATAGATTTGATTAACCTTCAGGAACTTATCCTAATAAACATTTTCAACTTAAAATAATTTCAGAGATCGTCTTTAATTAAATACATTTATTAATTACATGTATGAATGACCGTGTTTATTTTTAGCTCTCAATTGCCCATTAATTAATTTAATTTACATGTATTATTATTGTTTTTAAATATGGAGCGCTCAAATTATTTTATATTATCAAAATAATTTAGTCTACTATTGGTTTTTTTGTTTATGTGCCGTTTATTTTCTTCTAATAAATATTTCGATAAATAACATTACACTTCAGTATATAATATTTTCAATATAAAATATTTTATTCAATATATACCGGGTGGTCCACTTAAATCCTACATCTTGAATATTTCGTTTATTTTTGACAATACGAAAAAATGTTTCAAATAAAAATGGAACGGTGTTGAGGGGGACACGTTATAGTGACATTGTTTTTTTTCTAAGTGAAGGCGCTAAAAAGATATGAAGGTCACCTCCACTTTTTTAAATGGAATAATGTAATTTTTTTAGATAACGTGATTCCTCTAATTATTTTGCATATAAAAGTATTAAGATAGAGATACCAAAAAACCAATAGTTTTCGAGATATTTTACACTTTATTTTGATACATATTGACACAAAATGTTAAATAACTCGTAAACTGTTGACTTTTTTATTATCGTACCTTAATACTTTTGTGAACAGAATAATGAGATAAATCAAATGGTGTAAAGAAAACACATAGTTGCGTATTTAAAAAATTATGCATTTTGTATACATATTTTTTTTAAAGCAACTATGTATTTTCTTTACACCATTTGATTTATCTCATTATTCTGTTCACAAAAGTATTAAGATACGATAATCAAAATGTCAACAGTTTACGAGTTATTTAACATTTTGTGTCAATATGCATCAAAATAAAGTGTAAAATATCTCGAAAACTATTGGTTTTTTGATGTCTCTACCTTAATACTTTTATATACAAAATAATTAGAGAAATCACGTTATCTAAAAAAATTACATTATTCCATTTAAAAAAGTGGAGATGACATTCATATCTTTTTAGCGCCTCCACTTAGAAAAAAAACAATGTGACTAAAACGTGTCCCCCTCGACACCGTTCCATTTTTATTTGAAACATTTTTTCGTATTGTCAAAAATAAACAAAATATTCAAGATGTAGGATTTAAGTGGACCACCCGGTATATAATATTTTCATTATGTATGTACATACAACGATGACAGAAGTGCAATTAAATGCAAATCAATTCACATATTTTCAGTGTTAATAAATAATTTAATTCTTTTAATATAGAGAAAGAGGGCAATGAGCCAATAATATCGTTAAAATCTTTAAATTATAATCAATATATTGCGAAGAATATCACGTAATTATGGCGTTTCGTCCCAGCTTCCACTACTGGACTCATCAGTAAGGTATTGTAGTGGAAGCCTACCTTAGACGCCTGTTTAAGTTATTAGATCGAGAATCTATATATACAGATATACGCGTATCCAAGCACTTGCGAGAATTTTTGCGAATATCTATAGACCTCTGATGGCGAGTCGACGTAGTAATATTCTTCGCAATATATTTATTCAAAGTAATATATGTATTACCCTCCCACCCCCCCCTTGCGTTTCAAGACCGAAGATTGTTCGGCGCGCAAGTTGTAATTACAAGTGTGCATCAGTGTTGCACTAATTTTCCCAGTAGAAATCGCTTATTAGAGTCTACAAAAGGGTGCGTTCCACTTAACGTTCGCAACAATCGCGTGTATCATCTCATCCTTACTTAATATTCGATTACAAGAAGAACAAAATGATCCTCGCGAGCGTTGCAAACGTTAAGTGGAACGTACACAAAGCGAAATACATAATTTTTTCTCAGTTGGCAGTCCTGCGGAACAAGAAGCAGAGAAATGACAGAGAGCGCAAATTTTAGAGAGAGACGCTTGCAATCTGAGCACACCATGTAATCCTTCCACCATGACGTAAAGGGAACCCCCCAGGATAGCGGCTCAGTATCAGCGCACCCCTCGCCCTAATGAAGTGAACGGTATGGTTCACGAAACGTTGGCATTAATAAGAAAGAAAGACACGGCGGTAACCCGCAAACCTTCTGGTATAATTGAAGAAAATACCCGTGAAAGCCTCAAAAGCGTAATTAAGTTCATTGTTTTTAGAAGTTATATCCATATGCTAAAATACGAAACATGATAATATTTATTATTATTTAAAAAATTCTTGTTGGAAGGTTAAAGAATACAAGCAAATTTTTTTATTTGTATAGAAAGTAAAGGATTTGCCGGTGATGCCAAAAAATACTAAAGTACCATCACGACTTCAACAAGTTATCACGAAGTCGTTCTGGCTAATCTCCACTGCTAGAAACATCATTATAGTGATTCTTTGCGCGGTGATGTGCTGGCTTCTCGAAAAGCACTTAGGAAAATCGCCCGTTATTTTAACGGGTCATGTAAAACAAGGACTACCGGAATTTCAGTTGCCACCTTTCGAAGCTCAGGTTGGAAATGAGACCTATACTTTCATCGATATGATTTCCGCTCTGAGCACTGGTTGTCTAGTCGTTCCTATGCTAAGTTTGCTAGAAACCATTTCTATCGCCAAAGTATTCTGTAAGTGTTTAATTTATTAACCCTGTAAAATAACATTTTTTTCTCAGTTAATAAATTAAATTGTTGTATCAACGATAATTAATTAAACGGTAATTAACCAAAATACTAAATGATAATTAAAAAATCTACTTTGAAAAATATAAGTCAATGAAATAAAAAGGCAATTAAGAGTCAATATTATATGTGTGATCTAATAAAACATTTAATATATTATAAATTAAAGTAAAATAAAAATAAAATAAAATTCACACTATAAATGCGCACGCAAACAAAAGTCAAAACCATAACGTTTCGGCTGCATATTCGAGCCATCCTCAGATGTACATATAAATATTAATTAACGCAGTAAAACATCTTTAGTTAACGGAGAAAAAACAAGAATAAAACTATAATGGAGTGTTATGTTCTAAAACGTTGAGTATTTCCACAGAGAGAACAAATGATGAGCTAAATTGTTCTCTCTGTGGAAATACTCAACGTTTTAGAACATAACACTCCATTATAGTTTTATTCTTGTTTTTTCTCCGTTAATTAAAGATGTTTTACTGCGTTAATTAATATTTATATGTACATCTGAGGATGGCTCGAATATGCAGCCGAAACGTTATGGTTTTGACTTTTGTTTGCGTGCGCATTTATAGTGTGAATTTTATTTTACTTTTATTTTAATTTATAATATATTAAAAGTTTTATTAGATCACACAAATAATATTGACTCTTAATTGCCTTTTTATTTCATTGACAATTTTTTAATACTAAGAGTCCTGTATATTCGTTCTATTTGAAAAATATAATTAAACAAAATTAAAATAAATATATAAAACACGGTTGAAAATATTGAGCTCAAAAATTTGATAAAGTTAGCTGTAATTTTTTATAAGCAAGAGATAAATCATGATATTCAATAAAATAAATTTGACAATATACAATATCAAGCTCAAGGAACGATCAAGCTAGAGCTTAGATGCATCTAATATATAATTTCATGTGAATTTATATACTACATATGCAGATTCTTAAAAATGCGAGTAGAAATTTTTTCAAACTTACAACGCAAACTCTAATAAACTACCACAGTACTATCACGGGTAAATGTTTCGATTAGGGGACCCCCCTCCAATGACTTTGACCTTGACATATGTTGTCAAGGTCATGACCCTGAGTAACTTTGCCTTAACAACTAGCCGTCGCTCGCCCTTCGTTAAAAAGTTATTAACAATTATAGTTTTAAAATAGTAAATGTCTCAATCAGGGGACCTCCCTGCAATGACTTTGATCTTGACATATGTTGTCAAAGTCATGACCCTGAGTAACTCTCAACAGTTTTTAGCTGTCACTCGTCCTTCGTTAAAAAGTTATTAACAATCATAGTTGTAACGTATGCTGTACATGTATGATATAAAGTACTGTTCTACACCTTTCCCTGTTTAGAAACGTTGAATTTTTCATGCGAAGTAACTTTCACCCCCCCCCCCCCCCC